ACCCTATTGTATCAAGCGAGGACGATGGATCAAACCTCTGAACGAGTTCTTCCTCCCCGGGTCTCAGCCACTCCCTGTGAGGCCAAGCAGATCAACTGTTTATTTAAGGTTTGTTAATGAGTGTAAACAATTACATAGGACTTAGATAGGAACTTACTCTGTATATCCATCGGGAAATTCAAAACGACCAACAAGACCAGGTCCTCCAATTCTTGGGTGCTGAAGGTCAAAGTAAACAGAAAATGAAAAAATTAGGAGGCTGTGATGTTTTTCCTTCCTCATTGTTATGGAAAATTTGAGAAATTCAAAAAAATAAATTGCATAGACCTCCAATAAACTATTCGAACCAAATCTGAGGTGCCAAGGAGAGGAATTTTTATGTATCCAAAGCATATCGAACCACAGCTTCATTCTCTCCGGGATTTATGGTGCATCTGGAGAAGAGAACAATATAGAAAGTTCAGTTCAATGGTAGGGCGATGTCAGTGCAAGTATAAAGATTAGTTTCTTCCATGCGCACTAAAATGCAAACTATATGCCATTGACATATTGCTGGCTGAATTATTTACGGAAGGTTAGGTTGAAAACTTAAAAAAAAACAAAAACAATCTTTCGTAAATGACCAACTTGACTGAAGCTGCATATACAATCAAAGACTCAAATTGTCAAGAAAACTTTGTGACTACCCTGGAGAGATTTTGTTTCAAATCATGTAAAATCCACAAACGAGAAAAAGATAAGACCAGAAAAATAAAGAAAAGCGAAGGAGATGAACACGGATATACAGTTTAAAAAGATAGCACCAATGATTTAACCATATTTTCTTCTTCCAAAAATGAACCAATGATGTAACTTATGATCAAAGTCAAGAAACCTTTCATACTGGAATTCTTATCAATTAATGCTCACTAACACTATGAACAAGAGGAGGCATATTTACTAACATTGAATACACGAGAACTCCACCTGGACGAACTAGCTGAACAGCCTGATCAAGCATTCTTCTTTGGTATGTCGCATGCTTTCTCATGGATTCAATTGTTTCCTGGAATAAGCCACTAACTTTATCAAACACTTAAGATACCTTACTTGAACCAAAATACCTTGTAGATACATCCGCACATAAGACATTAACAAGACAAGAAGGCATTAAAAGTAATAAGAACAACCAATAAACAAAAAGAAAAAGAAAAAAATTACTGAAAACACGTAATTTTTTGATCGGATTATGGTACCTCTCCAGCAAATAGTCGACGTCTTAAACCAAGGGCAGAACAGGGTGCATCCAGAAGAACTTGATCAAAGCTTTTGGGAGCAAAGCCTTTTGACTTCTCAACCGTACCACCCACGCTCTGATTTCTTCCTGGGCCATTCCATTTTCTTCAGATTTCCTTCCTGATAGCAGCTTTTGCTAATGTAAGTTGTCTCATTCGCCTTTTCATTGCTAACTAAAACATTTAGTTGATTAGAATTTCAACTCTAATATTGGAAAAAAGCATTTGCCATTCACATAATAAAAATTGAACTGGCTATAACTGTAGCATCAGTGTGGAAAAGAAAACTACATGTAGAAGACAAGTTCTAAAGAATTTTTTTCACATTATTCCACAAGCTAAAGCCTAAAGGTGGTTTTCAGAGAGAGAAACTCCTGAAAGGAGGGGGCGGGGTAGGGGGTGGGGGGGAGGCTATGTAGGATTCACAATCCCAACCCACAAATCGAGATGTCAGAGGTCTTATATATTCCAACAAAATGAAAACTATAACTCAACCTTAAGTACAAGCCCAGGGATCTGGAATCTATTTCAATTTTAAAAATATAGTTTGAACTTCCAAAACACAACATTAAGTTAGAATTCATAAGGTCAAAAATATTGCAAGTATAGTTTATGACCTTGTTCACAAATTAAAAGCATTATGAACTATCATACTGATTCCAACAAGTTCTTGTTCCCAACTATCAGAACCAGAAGACAGGGCAGATCCATGAAAATTGTTCTCATGTACACACATGAGGAAGATTACCTACCACTTTTCTTGAAATCCTTCTCAGCATTCAACCTTTAAGTAACCGATTCAAGATTCTCCAATTCTGACGTTAGCAAGTCAGAACCTTGAATGTTTCCACCATGATTATCCTTAGTACAGGAGTGATTAGAAAAATCATCAGAATCGTTTATTATACAAACAGATTTTAAAGCGTCTAGTTTATATGGTGTTATACATCTCAGGCCAATTTCAGCAGCCAATTTGTAAATACCCTGCACCTGCAAAAATATTGTGACTGTAAGTAAAACCCAAAGCCTTAAGGCAAAAAGCCAAGAAGGGGCATTGAAAATCCCAGATCCGTGGAATTATATTATCTTTCCATGATTTGAGTTAAATAAGGAACCTAGAATCTAACCTCCTATGTGAAATGCAGGAAGTCAGTTTAATAAGGAACTAGAATCCACAACACGACTCAAATATAATACCGGAATCATAAAAGAAGGAAAAGGGAGACACTGTTTCTTCTACGACATCTCTGGTTAGGATTTAGGAAGTTTACCTTGTTGTGAGATCTATCAGCGGCAACAATTTCTCCTTCATCCTTCATAAGAAGGGCAATTGCAGTTGTTTTCCCTCCTGGTGCAGCACACAAGTCTAATATGCATTCACCTTTTTGAGGATCTAAGAAACACAGGAGTAATAAGAAAATCACCTATTAAAAAGTTCATTAAATGCTCTAAGATGATCGCAGTAAGTAACAGCTAGCTGATTCCTATGGAAGGAAGCATCCATCACAATTATAATAAGATCATATGAATAATACAAATAAAGAAAAACCATGATACAGATACTACTTTGCAGAAACTGAAAAGCTAATGTAGTTATTGTGGTTTTGACAGAATGAGACACAATCCTAAAAAAGGAAAGAACAACATATGGAGATTGATCATGGTAATGGGTACCTAGTGCATGAGCAACAATAATGCTTGGCAGATTTTGAAGAAATATTTCCTCCTCAAGCACATCTAGAAACCAAGACAAAAGATGGAGTTATAGCAGAATGCAAAATAAACTATATAACTATTACAATAGAACCAAAACCATGAAAGAACAAGCAACTACTCATCAATTAGGTAACAAACAAAAAGATAGACATCAGATAAAAGAAAATCAAAGTTCCCTCATTAACGACCCATGTCAGCTACTATAAAGAATCTTCCACTCTATAAAGTAAAAATCTACACTAAACTTTCAAAGTAATATTATATTATATGCAACAATGAATGGAGAAAAAAGCATGAATTGAAGCTCATTGAAAAACTTGATATACTAGAGGAGCAATGCAACAGCTTCAGGTGGCGTGATATACATTAGCAGAGAACTAGGATTCTACTCTTATATGAACCATACCATGTAAAGAAGGGAGATTAAAAACTCTGACACTCATATCCACAGCAAGCCCTTCCATAACACAGAAAATCCCGGCCCTTGACAGCGTTGCTCTTCCTTTGCCGATATACAGCCCACTTCGTTCAAGATGATAAGGATCTAAAACATCATTTAAAAGAATCATCTATCAACCTACAGTCGTTTAAGCAAAGTCACAATCTTTGTGATCCAGTCTTCAATCCCACACACATGAACAAATACACTACTCACCTGTCTCTGAACCTTGCGGCACAGTCCCTCGGGTGATCCCAACGACCCATCCACCATCAGCACCGGGCTGCTGAACCGCAACTGAAACCGCCACAATATCCCCTTTCTCGACACAAGCAGTGCAACCCAGTACACCAGGAACATACACCTACGTGTCAAAAACCCCCCAAAACAACCTCCTTCATCCACCACTGAGTAACGAAAGCAAATAATTTCTCGAAAGAAAATTGAAAAATGCTAACCTGGGCACCTCGAAGAACTGCCTCGGCACATTTCCGGCTCACAAGAACCTCTTTCGGAGGCTTCCCATCTGCAGCACAGCTATAATCAATGACCTGCGGGCCCGAACCCTTCACAAACAGAACGTAGTCCATCCCTCCGACTTCACACTTGGAAATGTCAGCTCCTTTTTCTTTCAGAACCGTCCTCAGCTTCTCAATGGCTGCATCCGGCGTCGACTTCAGCGTGTTCACGCGTATGCAGGAGTAGCAAGACGGCCGCCTGATCAAACCCAACAAACAAAAACAACAGAAATCATGAGAAAAATGATATGCATCAGTTGAAATTGAAGAGAGAGAGAGACAGACAGACAGACAGAGAGGGAGGGAGGGAGAGAGAGGGGTACTTTAGTGCATCGGAGATGCGGGAGAAATGGTGGGGTCCGTAGGCGTTGGAGAAGTAACTTTCGAGGTCGGCGTTCCAGCGGAGAGTTGGGTTGTAAGAGTAGCGCTCTGGTAAATCGTCCATGATTTTGCGGTGCTTGGGGTTGAAGGTGGTGATGGTTCTGAGCAAGTTGCTAGCTTTCTTCTTCATTCAAGGAGGCGGAAGCAGCAGCAGCACCACCACCACCATTTTTGTTTGAGTTGCAGAAGCTCGGGGGTTCCGGCAATCGGGCTTTTGGGGTTTTTGGTGGGAAACTGGGCCGGGGATTAACCTTTTCCGTAAGCGAGATTTTGGGCTTGGGGTAATGTTGGCCTGTTTGGCGCCCCACAAAAGGAAGGTTGCGAGGTGTGACAATGTAGGCACAAAGTTGCAATCTTTTAATACAAATAATCAGGAATTGTTACGTACACTTCAAAATTCTGGATTTGCATTCTAAACTTTCATATTTAAAAGAAAAAATACTTGTGAAAAAGTGAAAAATGAGATTTTTTTTTAGTACTAATAACAACTTTTTAAATTTAATTAAAATTAAAAAAAATCATTTAAGCTCTGTCTAAATGCTTAAATGCTAGATCTCTACCCATTACCGATTAGCGTTTAACCTCTTTAAGAACATTCCATAAAATAGCGTCCAACATAAGTAGGTGACGCAATTATTCGGTGATTCAATGATTAAAGTGGAATGCTTTGGCCACTATTAGTGAGTAGGACACAAAACACAGCTCAACTCGGTTAAGCCATCGCTTTCACTTCCCCTCATCGGAATTGGCGCGCAAACCAATTACCGTCCTCGCTGATCGTATCGAATCAATACCCCTTAAAACACACACACACAAGACACAACCACCAAATCGCTCAATCGATTTCATCGCTGCGTCCACCACTTCCTGACACCCACTACGATTCAAGACAAATGCTTCGAATCGGCGTCCTCAGATTCGTCGCTCTCCCTCACTCCTCCTCCTCCTTCTCCTCGTCTTCCCTTTTGTTCAATCCCATTTCTCCCAAATCCCTCCCTCCTCCTCCTGTAATCCGTACCAAGCTCGTTTCCCGTTCCCGAACCATGGCTTATACGACGTCGTCTGGTTCTTCTTCCAAGCCTCCTCTTCCGGCAGCTCTTCGAGAAGGAGTCCTCCACCTACACTTACTTGCTCGCCGATGTCTCTCACCCCGACAAACCTGCTCTGGTCAGCCCTTTTGTATGTAAATTTTAATTAGTAAAGTAGTAATTTTGGTCTTAATTGTGATTAAGGATGATGATGATGATGCAAATTGTGGGTCTTTAATTTGGTTGAATTTGCAGCTGATTGACCCGGTGGACAAGACGGTGGATAGGGATATCTCCCTTGTTAAAGAACTGGGATTGAAGTTGATCTACGCCATGAACACTCATGTTCATGCTGATCACGTGACTGGCACCGGCCTCATCAAGGTTCCAACTTTCGAGCTTTTTTCGCGATTTTTTTTAATTATTTTGTTAGTGTTACTGCATTTGTGTTATTCATGAATGATGAAATGAAGAATTCCTTTCGAATGATGCTGTTTGTGTAAAAGTTGTGTTCTTTGATGGAATTCAATGGCAAATGAATTACCAATCTCTGGCATTTTTTGTTGCTTTTGCTTGATGTGCATATGTATTTGTTGTGGCAGACTAAGCTTCCTGGTGTGAAATCTGTCATTTCCAAGGCGAGCAAATCAAAAGCGGACCTTTTGATTGAAGCCGGCGATAAAATATATTTTGGAGATCTGTTTTTGGAGGTATGCCAACACTTGGGTTTATTTTCATTTATGTTTTAAGTTTCTTGCACAATGTAACATGCAAATCGGAAGGTTCTGATGGTTTCTGGAGGAGTAAATGTATAAACAAGCTTACCATTATATTCCCCTCTTTTTAGATTAATGAGAGCTAGAGAATTATTTAAGGTGGAGAGTTATTGTAATGCTTGTTAGGCGAGCCCCAGAAATAATTATACATGTGGTATATGCTTCCCAGTGATCATTGCATAAGAGTGCCTATGCCATCTTGTGCAGTTCTTTTTTTGCTAGAGTTTGATGTAAGATGAACTTTTGTCACAACTAACAACTCACAATAGAATGATGAACACTTACTAAGCAGACTGAATGATAATGTGCTACGTGAAGGTAAAAACTTGGTTGATTAAATTGGAGTGTTTAACCCAAACCTGGTAGCGGCTTGAAAACTGAGATCAGCTTTATCAAATTAATTGCCTGTAGCTGATAAAATAGAGAAACAATGCAGTATGGTAATGATGAACGCTTACTAAGCAGACTGAATGATAATGTGCTACGTGAAGGTAAAAACTTGGTTGATTAAATTGGAGTGTTCAACCCAAACCTGGTAGCGGCTTGATAACCAAGATCAGCTTTATCAAATTAATTGCCTGTAGCTGATAAAATAGAGAAACAATGCCGTATGGTAGGGTGGCATTTCACAAATGTTAAAAGTTCAGTTTTGTACTTGGCTTATATGTGTGTATAGGTTGTGAGCTACTGCATCCCTCTATGGTGAAATGTAAAAAATGACCAAAAGAAATAACCTACTGTAAAAATAAAATTTGTCTGCTATATACTGATTGAAGTTATTTTTATGTGTGAATCTCTGTGTTGGGTGTGTGTGTGTGTGTGTGGCTGTGTATCTGTGTGTGTGCGGCTGTGTATCTGTGTGTGTGCGGCTGTGTATCTGTGTTTGTGTGCGTGTGCATGTGCTAGTAGCCTAGTAGTGATGTGTGTGTGGATATGTATCTTATGTGTGTATGTTGTGGTCTGCTGCGTGCAAATTTGGTGTAATGACGAAACAGATCAACATGTAGAAACAACCTGCTGAAACAAAATTTGTCTGGTATTGTCTGATTTGGAATTAGAAAGTTTAATTTTGTGTTTGGTGTGTGCATCTTTTGGACATGTATATTTATATGTTTATTTTTGTTTCAGGTTCGAGCTACTCCTGGGCATACATTAGGTTGTCTTACCTATGTTACAGGAGATGGGCCTGATCAACCCCAACCGAGGATGGCTTTCACTGGGGATGCACTACTCATACGTGGATGTGGGAGAACCGATTTTCAGGTACAGATTAAACTTTTCGAACTCTTTATGATGTCACTTCTCTGTGACAATTTCTGCTTCCCTTTATCAACTAAAAGGAAAATGAAAAGGAAAAAGGAAAAACTAGCAGCATCTTGGTAGTTGAAGTTGGGTTGTTTCGTAAATGGAACTGTGAAGGGCAGTTGTAGTTCGTTGTTTTGAATTCTCTAATCTGCTTGCAGGGTGGCAGTTCACATCAACTCTACAACTCAGTTCATTCACAGGCAAGCACGTGACGAGATAGTATACTTTGACTTTCAATATCATGGGAAATAAATGAGTTTGATCCATAACATTATATACAGAGAAACCACTAATATTTCTGTGCTTACATATCCAGATTTTCACATTGCCAAAGGATACATTTATCTATCCTGCTCATGATTACAAGGGATTCACTGTAAGGAACTATTTACTGTCTATTTCTTCCATACCAAGTTGAATCTACGTAGCTAGTTATGCCACTTGTTTGCTTGACATGCAGGTTAGTACTGTGGGGGAGGAGATGCTTTATAATCCTCGGCTCACAAAAGATGAGGTATATAATTGTTTTTCGTCAAAATTGCCAAACCCCTTGCATTTACTAAATTTTATTTTCTTCAGAAAGATGTAACTACTGCTATCTGGTTGACAAGCACATAATAACTTCCTTTTACCCTAATAAATCTAATCGTCAATGTTTTATGTCTGCATATTCTGGTTCGACTAACATTTAACGTAGATGTGTACTGACAAGGGCAGATATTAATGTGAAGGAGCTTCTGCCTAAAAGCAATCACTTAATTTTACTACGAATGGTTAACACTAATATTTCTCGGATGTTGTAAAAGAATTCTGCTGAAGTTTAAGGGAAAGCAATGAGATATAGATTCTACTGTCGTCTGGAGATTATTAGCTAAATAAAGTAGTACCCACTGTAGAGAATTTATCATGCATTTGACCATAACCGCAGCATGAATTCACTTTTATCTTTCGTCGATGATACGGGTATGTTCAACACTTTTTGCCTATATCTAACTAATTTGATTTTTGAATTCTTTTCTGCAGGAGGGATTTAAAAGTATCATGGAAAGTAAGTAAACTTATTGCATCTAAACTTATAAGGTGCCGTTTCATTGTTTTATGACATATCCAACCGTTTTAGGTTTGAATTAAGACAAATTTATGTTTTTTGACAGATCTAAAACTCTCATATCCAAAAATGATTGACATAGCTGTACCCGCAAATATGGTTTGTGGATTGCAAGATTTATCTGAAAGGCCTGCCGAGTCTGTGGCAAAATAGGTACAGTTGCTGCTATGATTTGTACTTCAGACAAGAACATCTAAAGTGAGCTGGCGTTACCACATCACTCGATTGGTTTCCACTATACATGATGTATCTACTAGTACAATTAACTGCACTAGACTTTGAATGCATATACTGATAGTGCCGAAAGGCAGCTCTGTATCCTACGATACCTCTCGTGTCGTTTCAAGAGATACTTGTGTGAGTTCTTTTGTTGTGCAGAAAAAGAATAAGAAAACGGAACGAGAGAGAAGAATGTCTGGATGAATGAAAGAGCCAGCTACCTGCGGCTGTTGTATTGGATTGACTACATAAAACCTCTTATTTACCATTTGGCATGCAACATCTTCTGCTGCTCAGCATAACATCTTAGTTGTTGTAGAAGTTCTCGCTGCCCCTCTCGGCAGTTTTGAAATCTAAATTTCCTTCTCATTTGTTCAGAAATTGAATATTTGACACCTTAGAAAACAGAGAAAATCTATCCATAATTTATCTTGTAACATCTTTTATCTACCTCAATTACATTATCCATTTTGGGCATCGTTTGAACTATTGAATCTTGAGTCCATGCTTTCATTTAGGCTGTGTTTGGATAAGGGATTCAAGATTCAAGGATTGAGACCAAGAATGGACAACTAAATATTGGATAGGGGGGATTAGGAATGCCCGCATGAGCATTACAAACTATAAAGGTGTGAGAGAGCAATGTGTAAATTCCTACTTGGAATGTGTCATTTGCAATTCTTTTCCGCACGCCTTTGTAATGTTCATGGAAGGCATTCATAATCCTTGCTATTTAACATTTTGGTTTATTTCTTGATAAATTGGTCAATCTCAAGTTTTTTATTTTTGGTAAAAAAAAATGGTAGTAGTGGGCCACCAATTCGAGCCGGGTAGCTGTTTTTACAGAAAGCTCTCCCCAAGAGGTTTTTTTACAAGCGAATGATCGAACCCTTGACCTCTCTAAGGATGGTACTCAGAAGAACCGCCCAACTTTTGGAAGGTCTCAATCTCTTTAGGGCGTAAAATTCCATATCCAAACCTAATCAGGGGAGCAATTAGTTAACCACTAGCCAACTTGCAAGTCTCTCTTTCAGCTTTACCGAAGAGATCATTTCTATCATTGTAAATGTTTTAGTTATTTTCAACTTCTGTTTTAGTCGTACACGCTTTAAATTGGATGTTATGGATGATTTTTTAATCAATCAGATCGGAAATTGGGTTTCTAATTTCAACCCAAAAAAATTCAAAATCACATTTTCTTTTCATTTTTGGAATTATTCGGAAATTTAAAATTTTCAGAACTTAATTTCAAAATAAATGGCATATTGGAATTCTGGGATTCACAATTCATATATCTTACAATTTTTGAGAATTTGAAAATTTGTGCAAATTAAGTCTTTTACATTAGGAGTAGAGTAATCACTAACCACATGGTTTGTCAAAGAGATCACTTTGACCTAATTTAGATCACGTTAGAGGACTTCAGTTGAAGATATATGGTCTAATGACTGAGATGCAAGTCTAACTAGGACATGTTCTTGAGGGATTGAAAGACTTAACCCAATTACGTAACTTAACATTTTCAAAGGGGGAGAAAATGATGGGAATTAACAAAGAACAAGAATACTGCAGACTGCAGACTGCAGTCTAAGCAAAATAATCTCCAAGGAAAAGAGGAGGAGGAATAATGAAATTATAAAAGTCCAAGTCAAGCAATTCGGAAAGGTTGGTGAGGAAGATTTTCACATGCAGACAATTGAAGGAGAAATTTTTCAGTGTACTCGGAATGCAAATTGGTGCATCGTATTATAATACAACTAAAACAATGCTGATTTTATATTTTTTTTCACTTAGATTATGATAATAGCGTACCAACTTGTGTTTCGAATAATAAAAATTAGAGAAATGATAAGGGGACTCTTTTAAAATTGGAACTCTTTGTGGACTTTGTGGACTCTTTGCTAATCAGTTTAACCTCAATTCTAATGTCAACATTACGTTGTGCTAAAAATATAAGATGATAGAAGATTCATAAAAAATTTCAGTTTTGAGAGAATTCTCTTTTTAACATTTTTTATATCTCTTCACTTAACGAGAAGAATGAGCGTGGTGGCATGCATTCGCATTCAAATGCTAGATGACATATTTCGAGGTGGAAAATTTCATCAAATTTCCCGACCTTCAAGATGTTTAAATTACTTGCTCCAAGAAACAAGCACTAGTTGTTATTAGTGGCTCTTGAACTTTGGTTATCGTTAAACTCGCACTTGAGGAAAACCTAAAACGTGATTGCGTGTTGGGACTGCCACAGCACCGCCTACCTTTGTGTGTCAAACCAAAACTCTTCGGTCCACAAACGCTTGTCCTTGTATTAAGGTTAGCTCTATTCCTAGGAGAATAAAAATGGATTTGGATCCTCGTCGGATCCCCTCTTGGGGATTCTAGGAATCAATGCATGTGTACTGTTGATCAAAAATCGTACGGTTACAATTAAGTGTTTTTTATATTTTTAAAAGTAAAGCAACCTCGTTTTGCATGAAAAATATAATAAAGAAATAAATTGTGACCGCATGATTTTTTATTAATGGTCCAAGTGCGTTGATCCCTAGGATCCCCAGGAAAGGGATTTGGCGAGGATCCAATGGCATTGCGAACATAATGCACAACTTCAACTTTTATACCTTAACAAGCAAGGAAGGAAAAATAAAAGCCTTGTTTTGGAGATAAAAACTATTTTCTTGGAGTAAAACTTGGGTGGTATTATCCACACACCCTATTTTACTTTTCACACGCCCTTCTTAGTTTATGGTTGTTAAATCGAATGAAAAAAGTAATAAGTTATATGTGAGAAGTAAAAGAAATGTATAGATAGCATCATCCTAATAAAACTTTGATGTTACAAGTACTATTTTTACTTGTATCTTTCTTGTTCTTAATCTGATCACGTAATGACACAGAACTAATAAAATATACATCTGTGATGGAGAAGTTATTGAAATTATAATTAATAATAAGGAAGTTAAATAATGCAGGGATAAAATATTCTACAAGGATGAAAAGTGTAGTTAACCTTATAAGACCTGAATACTCGAACTGCAATCTCTCTTCTTACTAATTAATTAACAGCTTGCTTTTACTGTATTGTTCATCAAATAAGAATGAAAATTCAACGTGCGGTAGCTACAAGCTAGTCTTTTCCTCCCTTGACATTTTATTCATTTAATGGGAAAAAAGAAAGGTTTTCAACCATTACATGATCCTGTCTCTATTAAAGAGTAAGATATATATGCCGACGCTATATAGTCACATAACATTAGAATTTAATAATAAACTAAAACTTTGTGATAACAGTAAACTCGTATTATGTAAGTTGTTTTGCGTATTCAAAGTCTTTTATTTGCTAATACTTTATTCATTTTCTTTCTTCCAAACGCACCGACCTAAGAAACTAAACGCAAAACATCTTATTTGAATAAATACTTAAGACTTTTTGACTAAAATAAATTTCGATTTTTTTTTTTTGATGAAAATTAAATTTCGATTATACATTCAAAACTTGGAGAGCACGATTGCACACCAATTTCAAAGCCTTAGTTTAAACATTTACTAGCATAAGGCCACGCATTTTGTATGTGAAGTAGTTTTATTATTATTTTATTTAGAACATATGTGGAGAGAGAAGTTGGAGAGAAACGTGAAAAAAGAGAGGAATTGATGAGGAGGAGAGATAAAATGTAGGGGTGGAGACTGGAGAGATATTTTTATTTTTATTTTTTAAAATCAAAAATATGCTACGTTGAGATGCGAGTGAGGAAGGAAGAAAGAATAATATTTTATTATTGGAAAATGATACTATTGCTCATGATGTTATTTTGTATAATAAAATTAAATATTTTTTCATCTTTTTTTAATTGACAAAAAAAATTAACTAATATGTAATTTAGATAATATTGTTTTTTTTCCTTAATCAACAATAATATTTCAAAATCCAGTGGTTCAAATGCAACACAAAACCTGCTCTCACGCAATTTTTTATAAATATCAAAATTAATAAATATAATAAAATAATGGCTGCAACCTCATGCATGTCTACTCCAAATTTCCACCGCTACCCTCGTTTCCTTTTGTTTGTGGACTTTGTGTGTTTATATTTGTAGGCGTGCGTTCCATTCATGGGTACGTAGGGTCTCGTTGAACATTCCATGTAGATTAATGGCAGACATTCCCATATTTAATTACGTCAAGAATATCATATGTATTTGGTCCATCGTGACGAAATTAAATGTGGCAGTCCGATTTGGTGCCTTTTGCTATACCTTAGATTGCTTGAAATTTCTTTTATCATCATGACCATTTTCATAAAATTAAAGAAAGGTAAAACCCAAATTAAGTTTTCTTTTCCCACAAATATTGTAATTAAATGTGATGTAGCAGCCTTTTTTTTACTGCCCAAGGAATCTTAATCCTTATAACGTCACCTTAATTTTTGAAAGACTAGATAGAGTAGTGATTAATACAACTTGGTTAAACTTATTTCCGAATGCCAACCTTCATAATTTTTCAATTTTTGGTTCGGATCATAGTCCTATACTTTTAGACTATTGCCCTAATAATAGTTTTGGCATGAGTGGCAAGAGTGAATTCAAGTTTATGGCTATGTGGTTTAATCACCCTAATTTTTCTAACATTGTTAAGAAAGCGTGGAGCTCGGAGTTGGAAGGTAACCGCAACGATAAACTCAGGGGGTGCCTTGGTGCCTTGAGATATTTGATCAGAGGATGGAACAAGGAGGTGTTCGGTAATCTGCATGTTAAAGTAAGAGAGCTTTTTGAGGAAATGAATAATGTTCAATCGCAAAGCATGGATGATCCAGATAATGTTCAATTGTTAAATGAAGAATTAAGGATTCGAAATGAATTGAATAGTACTCTCAATAATGAGGAACTCCTGTGGGCTCGAAAAGCGAGAGTTAACTGGCTTCAATTAGGAGATAAAAACACACAAAAATTTCAAACAGTAACTAATATTACACGTAGAAGGAATGAGATTCTTAAAATCAAGGACTCTGGGGGCTTTTGGTGGATGAAAGGGGAGGGCATGGAGTAGGTTTTTGTGCAGGACTTCAAACTGCGTTTTACTGCCCAGTCTACCCCAAATAATAATGCACTGTTTACATTTACTAGCATTATTGCGGCCTGCATAACTGAAAGCCAAAACTTGGCTTTGCTTAGCACAATTTGTGATGATGAAATTTTTGAGGCTGTCAATGGTATTGGAGCTTTAAAGGCTCTTGGTCCGAACAGTTTTCATGCGATCTTCTACCAAAAA